TAGTGTCTGAGCGCTTGTAATGTTTAGCCACGTGATTCAGCCTCTTGACGGCCTCCTGGCTACTGTGGGCATCATGAGAGAGAGAGAGAGAGAGAGTTGTCTCTGTAGCAAGTAGTCAGACATACCCACGAACGCTCACACCCACACACATACACAATATATGTGTGTGTACCCTCATACCCCAAAGCGCATACTATCATCATACCCCAGCACACACTCTGTCCTCCTATCTCTTTTAAATCCTATATCATCATGAAAACTTAGCTGGCGACTTCTATGGACCAGGACCCGAGAGCTGAAGCTCAGCCCGCGTCTAGACACGAGAAAGCTCGCAGCGAGTCATCATAGAACATAACATTTAAGCTAATGAGTGTGAACAATTACTACTGTGTGAAGGTGGGCACACAAGCTGCTAATTACCTCATTAGTCAGGCTCCTCTGCCCCAATCACAGCCCACAACTCCTGCACTAATAACCATGCACCTGGACCCGGGCTTGGCCAATCACAGCGTCGGACCCAGACAACCCGGACGGTGGGCAGGGGCGGCCCTGGAGGCCGTAAAGAGGTCGAAATTGCAGGCCGTGATAAGTAGGTTGATATCTGGTTATCTTGGTCAGGCGGTATAGGCTCATAAGCGGTGTTCAGCGCGGTTATCTTCGGGGTGTGCAACGGGATATCTTAGGTGTTCATAGGCATTTTTCACCTGTTATCTGTTCTCCGACTTTCTCATTAAGATTATCCAATTGAACTGTTTTTAATCGGTGTGAGGAGAGAGAGAGAGAGAGAGAGAGAGAGAGAGAGAGAGAGAGAGAGAGAGAGAGAGAGAGAGAGAGAGAGAGAGAGAGAGAGAGAGAGAGATGTGAAGCGGCCACAGCCGCTACTGGACTTATCGTAGTGTGTTCAGGGTGTGTTTAGGGTGTGTTTAGGGTGTGTTCAGGGTGTGTTTAGGGTGTGTTCAGGGTGTGTTCAGGGTGTGTTTAGGGTGTGTTTAGGTTCAATTATTTGTGAGCGTCCCAACGACCCGGAGGGCAACAGTGTGTTACTTGTGGAGCCCAGCGTCTGGATAAAGGGATACCAGAAAGACTAAGAGTGTCCTGTCTACTGGCGATGGGGCCCCTATGGTTCTGTTGCGCAGTCGAGCCGAGTTTTGTTAATCTGTCTCAACGGTGAGGTTAATGTTGATGGTCGTACTGTGAGAGTAACCTCTTGTTTACCTCGCCAACGGTCGAATTTATAACTTTGTTAATTGTATCTTGCGTCAGCCACCACTACCTCCACCACCACTACTTCTCCGCCACCACTAACACCACCACACTAGTCACAACCGCTTCGCTGCACACACACACAGAAGATAGAAGAGCTAGGGGGAGACATGATCACCATATACAAAATTCTCAGGGGAATTGACAGGGTAGACAAGGATGGATTATTTAACACGGGTGGTACACCCACAAGGGGACACAGGTGGAAGCTGAGTACCCAAATGAGCCACAGAGACATTAGAAAGAGGACTTTTTCAGTGTCAGAGTAGTTAGTAAATGGAATTTACTAGGCAGTGATGTGGTGGAGGCAGACTCCATACACAGTTTCAAATGTATATATGATAGAGCCAAGTAGGCTCAGGAATCTGTACATCAGTTGATTGCCAGTTGAGAGGCGGGACCAAAGAGCCAAAGCTCCACCCCCCCCCCGCAAGCACAAATAGGTGAGCACACACACACACACACACACAATACTAACAATAGAGCCAATTTGCAGAGCTCTGGTCCCGACTCTCTCAGCCACACCATAAGTCTAGAGCCACATTAATTATTCTGTCATATTTACCGTGTTAGGCTCCGCAGGTTGAGCGTCTGCGACTTTAATAGGATATTAGCGTGACATTAATGATGAGAAACAAATATATCATTTCTTCTTCTTGAGATGTTTTCATAACATTAAGTGTATATACCGCAAAACCTACCTATGCTTAGAAATTAATTGAAAAAATGTGTTTTTCGTTGAGATTTCATATATATATGATTTCATATATATATATGTATGTGTGTGTGTGTGTGTGTGTGTGTGTGTGTGTGTGTGTGTGTGTGTGTGTGTGTGTGTGTGTGTGTGTGTGCGCAGACGTTTAAAAGATTTAATATTAACGAAGAAGAGTTTTGGTGAGTGCAGTAGGATTTAGGTCAGGAAGGAAGTGGGCTGACCAGACCAGTTTGTTGTGAGTGTTCTAGTGAATCATCTCCCTCCCCAGTCTCCCAGACCTCACACACACACACACACGCACGCACGCACGCACACACACACACACACACACACACACACACACACACACACACACACACACACACACACACAGGAAGAGAGGGGGGCTTCGCGGCTCAGTGGACAGCGCTGTGGGGTCGTAGTTTTCTAAGGGCTAGTAGAGGCAGAAACAAATGGGCAGAGTTTCTTTCACTCTAGTGCTCCTGTTCACCTAGCAGTAAGTAGGGACCTGGGAGTTAGGCAGCTGCTACTGGCAGCTTCCTGGAGATGTGTGTGTGTGTGTGTGTTATAGACAAATGTATTTAGCAGACATATAGAGGAAAAACCAATTGGTTAGAAAGGTGGGGTCCAAGAGCTAATAGCTTGATTCTGCAGATACAAATAATATATGCAAATAGTAAATACACATTCACATACATGAACCCTGGAAGCAACAAGTCATAGATATAATATATATATATATATATATATATATATATATATATATATATATATATATATATATATATATATATATATAATATATATATATATATAATATAGATATATATGCACAAAGAAATGACATTAACGTGATGTCTCAATGAAGAAATCACTAGGAGCCATGAGGAGGCTTCGAATATAAATTGTTCTTATATATATATATATATATATATATATATATATGTATATAAATATATATATATATATATATATATATATATATATATATATATATATATATATATATATATAAATTGTTAGTTGTAGCTCACTTGGGACGAGTGTATTAAGTCTTGTAAGCTTGTCGAGTCATTACACGGAGTCTGGCTACGTCCTCATGGTTATGAGATCCCGTTAGTGCGCATGTCAAGGCTTGCATGTCAATTTATACATTATACACTGAAGTATAATACGAGGAGATCCCTCAAGGTATACTTCACACTCTGAGGCCTCGTATAGTGTAGTCACTGGCGAGGGTGTTAATTTCCAGCTTTCTTCAAGGAGTGTAAGGGAATGGCGCTCTTTAGGATTGTGTAACAAAGTGTAAGGATTAAAGTGCATACACACATAGGTGGCAGACGCTGTTTGCTAAGCGGGCCACGCTTGCTGGTGTGCTGAAGTGTATCACTTTGGAATAATTAAATCTTGCACACACACACACGCACATGTACGCAAGGGGCTGAGTGGCGTAGTGGACAACACTTTGGGGTCGTAGTCCTAAGAGCCCGGGGTTCGATTTCCGGCGGGGGCAGAAACTAATGGGCAGAGTTTCTTTCATCCAGATGCGTCTGTTCACCTAGTAGTAAATAGGTACCTGGGAGTTAAGACGGCAGCTACGGGCTGCTTCCTGGGGGTGTGTGTGTGTTAGAGAGAAATATATGTAGTATCTATAATAGAGGAAAAATAGATTGGTTAGAAAGTAGGCAAGAATCGTGTGCAGACAAGAATTCTGTAAACAAGATTCGTGTGCAGACAAGAATTCTGTAGACAAGAATCGTGTGCAGAATTCTGCATATACACGTTTACAGAATCTCGATTATGCAGATTTATTTGTAAATACACACATACACACACACAAAGTAGTTAATAGGTGGAATGGACTAGGCAGTGATGTGGTGGAGGTTGACTCCATACACAGTTTTAAATATAGATATGATAGAGCCCAGTAGGCTCAGGAAGTTGTACACCAGTTGATTGACAGTTGAGAGGCGGGACCAAAGAGCCGAAGCTCAACCCCCGCAAGCACAACTAGGCGAGGACACACACACACACACACACACACACACACACACACACACACACACACACACTCACACACACACACACACACACACACACACACACACACACACACACACACACACACTCATGACCCATGATATCTTGTACCACGTTAATGTGACTCATCGCACAGGACAATTCAGTACCTTTACTCATATCCCTGTGAATCAATACTTCCTTCTACCCCCACCAGATTTTGACGAGTAAATTTTTTTCCTATATTTCTTTGCTTTGTAATATCTTTTTGATTGTCCCTCCTTGTTAATATCTCTCACTTGGAGAGTAGTTAACTACCAATTATGTCTCCAATCATTTATAATGTCATCATGAATGTCAACAAACCTATTTGAACAGTGTTCTTCACGTATTGAACATATTTTTTATCGTTGAACTCGTCATTATTATTATTATATTGTATAAAATTTTTATGATTACGTGTTTTATTAAAATGTTATTTTTTCTAGTGAAAATTAATATGCCGATTTTTTTATTTGTAAGTTAAATTTATGGTAAATATACAGTCATGTATTTGGATGAAGATTTTTAATTTGAATTTGAAGGTGATGGGTGAGTAGGGTTGCAAGTGTGTAGGTAGCTGGTATGTAGGATAACAGGTGTGTAGAGTGACAGGTGTGTAGGTATAGCAGGTGTGTAGAGACAGTTGTGTAGGGTGACAGGTTCATAGGATGGCCACTTGTGTAGTAACAGGTGTAGGGTGGCTGGTGTGTAGAGTGAAAGGTGTGTAGGGTGACAGGTTCACAGGGTGGTAAGTGTGTAGTAACAGGTGTAGGGTAGCTGGTGTGTAGTGTGACAGTTTATCTTGAGAGATGATTTCGGGGCTTTTTAGTGTCCCCGCGGCCCGGTCCTCGACCAGGCCTCCAGGTGTGTAGGGGTGTGTGACAGGTGTGTGTAGGGGTGTGTGACAGGTGTGTGTAGGGTGAGAGCCGCCGTACTAACGCGTATTGTCTCCCGCAGGCGGAACTGTCGCTACAGGGCGATGACTTCACGCGGCAGATCTGGCATATGTACGCCACCTTCGAGGAGTTCATAGACCACCAGCAGACCTCCGGCGAGGCCAGCCCCGCCTCGCGCCCCTCCTCGGGCGGCAACTCCGGCACCGAGGCCCCGCCGCCCCCCGCGCCCAACGGGGGCCTGGGTGCCGCCAGCCCCCGGGATGTGGTGACCGGCCGGGGCTCCCTCACCACGCCCTCCCACGCCACCGGCGGCGCCGCCACCCGCGCCCACATGGCCGAGGTGGCGCTGTCTCAGGGCGTGCTGCCCCACGCCGCACACTCCCGCTCGCCCCCCGCGGCGCGCGACGACCTGGCGCTGGCGTCGCCCCGACGTCGGCGGCGGCCCCGACGGCTCCGTCGGTCGGTCGACAACCCGCTGCTCGACACCATCAGCGCCATCGGCGACCCGGACTCCGACGAGGCGGACCTGCTGCCGCCGGCGCCGCCGCCGTCGGCGTCGTCGTGCTGGGGGCCTCGGCTGCACCCCGAGGCGGACGTGGTCGGGTACGCGGGGAGCAACAGCGTCGACAGCGGGTACAAGAGCGCGTGCCCGACCCCGGAGCTGCCGGACCCCGCCGCCTACGTCGAGCACCGCCTCGAGAAGCGCGGCTCCCTCGCCTCCCTCGCCTCCACGGGGTCCTCCTCCGGCAGCGGCAGCGCCTCCAAGCCGCGCATCGCCATGGGCACGCGGGTCATGTCGCGCGTGCCCCGCTCCCCCAGCTCCGGGGGCAGCGCCCCCTCCCCCGGCCTCCCCCGCAGACCCGGCTCGGACGGCTCCTACTACGAGCTGGACCAGTTGGCGGGGCTACGGGGCGGGGGGCTGCTGGGGTCGCCGCCCCCCCACGCCACCCCCGCCGAGGTCAGGAACCCCGGGTTCTCCCGCTACTCCCCCAGGGGCTCCCCGGCCCCCCAGCGTAACTCCTCCCCCGGGGGCGCCACCCCCCGGGACACCCACGTGTCTCGCCGCGCCGCCTCGCCCGCCTCCCCCGAGCGGCGCCCCCGCAGCGCCTCCACGGGGTCCCGCTGCTCCCCCGGCACCAGGGGGCGCCGCCCCCCGGGGAGCCTGCGGGCCGGGTCTCCACTCCTGGCGTCCACGGGGTCCCTGCCCCGGGCGTCGTCCCCCGGGCGGCGGCCCCGGGCGCTGTCCCCCGCCACCAGGGAGGAGTCACGGCCGCCCACCTCGTGGTCCCGCCACTCCTCCCCCGGGGTGGCGCCGCCGCCCCCTCGCTCACTCCGCCGCCCACCGTCGCCCATCGTGGGCGGCCACCACCACCACGACACGGACCTGGCGCTCCTGGAGCGGGAGATCGACGCCCTGCTCTACGGGGACCCCCTGGCGCCGCCCCCGGCACCCGACTACTACGACCTCGACTCCGAGTTCGCTGCCGCCGCCTGCACCTGCCCCGCCGTCTTCACCAGACCCGCGCCCCCAGGTCAGTACCCCCGCCACGCAGCCCACCTGTACACGTAGGTGTGTGTGTGTGTGTGTGTGTGTGTGTGTGTGTGTGTGTGTGTGTGTGTGTGTGTGTGTGTGTGTGTGTGTGTACTCACCTAGTTGTGTTTGCGGGGGTTGAGCTCTGGCTCTTTGGTCAAAGAGCCAGAGCTGAGCTCTTTTGGTGTGTGTGTGTGTGTGTGTGTGTGTGTGTGTGTGTGTGTGTGTGTGTGTGTGTGTGTGTGTGTACACGAAGGCGGTTGTGTGGACGTAGTTTGTGACTGTTCCCTGATACAATAGCTGTTGAAACTGTATTGATAGATTTGATGTTGTTGCGAAGCTGTTGCTGCAACTATTGCTGTTGGTGAGATTTGCTGCTGCAGGTGAGGGAAGGATGGGGGGAGGAGTGCATGGGTGAGGGAGGAGGGGGGGCGGGGGGGGCGGATATGGGGGGAGGTAGAGAGGGGGGGGCGAGGGGGCGGAGGTATACTAGGATGGGAGACCAGGTAGAGAGTACCGGAATATGAGGTACTTGTGAGGTGAGGGAGCCTCTTAGTATGCAACACTCTGTACCTTTGCCAGGCTCTCTGGTTCCCTTCCCTCCTTTATGTTGTCCTCTCTCCCTCTCTCTCTCTCTCTCTCTCTCTCTCTCCTCTCTCTCTCTCTCTCTCTCTCTCTCTCTCTCTCTCTCTCTCTCTCTCTCTCTCTCTCTCTCCCCCTCTCTCTCTCTCTCCCTCTCTCCCTCTCTCTCTCTCCCTCTCTCCCTCATACTAAAACAAGCAGGGCTAATATAATTGAAGCGGTTTAAGCTGGGCAAGTTTAAACGCTTCAAAGAACTAAAGGTATATTGACCAACAAGCACGGCAGAAATATTACTAAGATGCCGAGAGATCAGGAGAACAGATATGACCTCCCCCCCCCCTCCCCCCTCTCTGTAAGTAAGGCTCAAGCAGATACGCATCGCTATAAATGCGTAATAGTCAGTCTATATGACTTAGCGTCGACACTACCTGTTTAACAGGGAATTCACTGTGCTCCTGTCTCTCTCTCTCTCTCTCCTCTCTCTCTCTCTCTCTTCTCTCTCTCTCTCTCTCTCTCTCTCTCGAGGGGTCGTAGTCTTAAGGGCCCGGGTTTGATTCCTCGTGGAGGTTGAAACAAATGGGCAGAGTTTCTTTCACCATGATGCACCTATTCACTTAGCAGTAAATAGGTACCTGGGAGTTAGACAGCTGCTTCGGGCCGCCTCCTGGGGATGTGTGTGTGTATACTCCCCTATTTGTACTCACCTATTTGTGCTTGCGGGGGTTGAGCTCTGGCTCTTTGGTCCCGCCTCTCCACTGTCAATCAACTGGTTTACAGGTTCCTGAACCTACTGGGCTCTATCATATCTATACTGTGTGTGTGTGTGTGTGTGTGTGTGTGTGTGTGTGTGTGTGTGTGTGTGTGTGTGTGTGTGTGTGTGTGTGTGTGTTTGAGAGAAATATGTGCAGTAGACATAATAGAGGTAAAATAGATTGGTTAGTAAAGTGAAGTCTAAGAACTAATAGATCGATTCTGCAGGCACAAATAGTAAATACAAATTGTAAATACACACACACACACACACACACACACACACACACACACACACACACACACACACACACACACACACACACACACATCCCCAGGAAGCAGCTGTCTAACTCCCAGGTACCTATTTACATTTAGATGAACACGCGCACTAGGTGAAAGAAACTCTGCCCATTTGTTTCAGCCTGAATGTGTATGTGTGTGTGTGTGTGTGTGTGTGTGTGTGTGTGTGTGTGTGTGTGTGTGTGTGTGTGTGTGTGTGTGTTGGCAGTGACCACTCCCCACGATCCTCTTGTGTTTAGGACATGGTCGTGAGGTTGTGGTTGTGGGGAGGGGGTTGTGTGTGAGGGGGTGAGGGGGGGGGTTATGTGTGTGTGTGTGGGGAGGGTGGAGGGGGGGGGGTGGTGTGTGAGAGGTGGAGGGGAGCCATTCTACTCTAATTCAACACTCATTATCATCGTCGTGCTCCTCCCTCTGCACGCCCTGCACGCCCTCTCTCTCTAGTGGGACAGGGATGCTAATGACGAATAGACAGAGACAGACAGACAGACAGATAGAAATAGAGACAGATACAGAGAGAAAGAGATACCAACCAAACAGAGAGTGAACAAGTGTTCCATTGTATCAGATACCAACTCACTCACTTCCCTCTGTAAACTCCCTCTAACTCATGAACAAATCCACAAGGGCCGTGACGAGGGTTCGAACCTGCGTCCGAGAGGATCCCAGACGCTGTCTTAATTGCCTGAGCTACGACATGGTCAAAAGAATTGCAACCGGGAAATCATCCTGATTGACCATTTTTTCCCTCCGACTCACTCCTAGCAGTACGTGGGTTATGAAGCACCTGATAATTAGGTACGACAACAAATGAGGAATGACTAGCCTGCTCCTTACTGCTACCATCATGGTGGTGGGTCGTAGCCTCACTGCTACCATCATGGGGGTGTGTCGTAGCCTCACTGCTACCATCATGGTGGTGTGTCGTAGCCTCACTGCTACCATCATGGGGGTGTGTCGTAGCCTCACTGCTACCATCATGGGGGCGTGTCGTAGCCTCACTGCTACCATCATGGGGGTGTGTCGTAGCCTCACTGCTACCATCATGGTGGTGTGTCGTAGCCTCACTGCTACCATCATGGGGGTGTGTCGTAGCCTCACTGCTACCATCATGGGGGTGTGTCGTAGCCTCACTGCTACCATCATGGGGGTGTGTCGTAACCTCACTGCTACCATCATGGTGGTGGGTCGTAGCCTCACTGCTACCATCATGGGGTGTGTCGTAGCCTCACTGCTACCATCATGGGGTGTGTCGTAGCCTCACTGCTACCATCATGGGGTGTGTCGTAGCCTCCCTGCTACCATCCTGGTGGTGTGTCGTAGCCTCACTGCTACCATCATGGGGGTGTGTGTCGTAGCCTCACTGCTACCATCATGGGGGTGTGTCGTAGTCTCACTGCTACCATCATGGCAGTGTGTCGTAGCCTCACTGCTACCATCATGGGAGTGTGTCATAGTCTCACTGCTACCATCATGGGAGTGTGTCGTAGTTTCACTGCTACCATCATGGGGGTGTGTCGTAGCCTCACTGCTACCATCATGGGGGTGTGTCGTAGCCTCCCTGGTGCTGGGAGGGTGCTAGCCAGCACTCTCCCCTTCGCTAACCTTAGCACCCGCATAAAACATTAGCAGCGCTGCTCAAGGACAGTGAAGCTTATACCCCTTTGTGTTGAAAGATATTGTGTT